TACTTTTCTAAAAAAATTATGCCAAGTTCTTATTGCATTAGGAGGACAACTTTATGCTCTATTGGTAAATATATTTTTTTGACTATTATACAATATTTTTCTGTATTATCTTATATTAAATAAACAGAGCAATACAAATATACACATCTATTAACCTGATTTTTAGATTAATTTCAAACGATTACTGGATTAAATCAGGCTATAATAATGCTATTTAATAATTAAATGTCATAATTTGGTCTAGAGTTAGGCATTATATGCTATCTCCCAATAAATTTGATAGCTATAATTATTGAATTTATCAAGAGACTATGCATAATGTTTGCCTTTAAGCCAAAGAACAATAATGCAAATAAAGAATATTAAAATTAAAATTTTTTTTGTTAGAAAAGCATATGTCCTACACTGTTTACAAGGAAAGAAAAGTGTATATTCTTTCAGAAGTCATTATGATTCATGTTTATGTTTAAATGATTGTTTTATTCACTTAAACTTAGAAGATCAACACAATAACAAGCAACAGGTTGTTGGAATCTAACATTTTTGGCTATTTACAGGCCATCATCAGGATGTGCAAACATTCAAAAATAGAAAAATGTTCCAATGTAATATTCAAATTACAAAATTCAAAATAGTTAATATAAATAAACATTATAAATATGTAGAAACAAATATAAAACAGTATAAAACATTATCACTATCAAGTTAATAACATAATTAAAACTTCAGCACTGAAACATTCTACAGTTTTAATTACATTAGATATCTTTTAATCTGTGGTTTGTTATATTGTTGTTTTTAATTTTTATCATTATGATTCTTTTAAGAATAAAAGAAAAAAACACCCAGTTTTCTATTGTTTTAAGCTTTAGTGTAATAAAACAAATTTAAAATAATAGAAAATAAAAATTCTGTTTCAGTCTTAAAAAGTGGCTATTTTTAAATATCACATTGGCTGAAATATAAGTCAACTTCCAATTTAGGAATCCTTAATATTTGAAAAAAAATTAGGACCAGAATATAAATTGACCTTTTATTATTAATTCTATTTGCATACAAAAAAATTAGCAATTTGCATTAAAAAATAATTTGGAAAGTTATAAAAACAATACTTCATCACTTTTATCTTTATCAGAACTTTCACTTGATATCATTCCTATTTTTTTTTATTAATTTGATTCCCATTTACAGTAAAACTTTGCTAAGTTGGACACTTGTGACGAAGATCCAAAATATTTAAGTTAGTGGGTGTCCAGGTTAGAGAGGTGAGCTTTTCTGCAGACCATGTACACATTAGGGTTTCTCAAATGGGATCCCGATTGTTCTTTTAACCCGGGAAATCATGCAAATTTCTTAAAATTTCACTTTTTTTATTATTTTGTGTTAAGGTTGAGGAAATTTTGTAAATAGAAAGTATAATTAACTCATAAAATGTCAGAATACATTTGTATTTATTAATTTTAAACCTACTTATTAGATTTTTTTAATTTTTACTCGTTATGGCATGTCACAAATGGTCATTAATCAATATGTAGCTTATTTGTGGCAGGACTCTCAAAATTCTTTACCTGTAATATCTGGAATAATTGTGCTTATGCTGTCTTAATTTTTAACCATGCCTAGTAGCTTCAATAACTGTGTAACGCCAAGTTGTGCAAATTGGGCAAGGATACAAACGAGTACGAAGTCTGCAAGTATGAAGTTTTTCTTCATAACCTGATTATTAAAGATAAACGAACTGCCAAATTATTGGGCTATGATGTTTCTATTAAAGCAGTCAAGGTAGACAAATCAAGAATACTAGAAAACAAAAGAAGTACTACAATCGCGAAAATGAACTAGAAATCTTTCAGGATACAGATGAAAAACACATATTATTTATCTTCTCTTAAATGCATTAAACATGATTCCACTCACATCAATTGAATCGGAAAGGGCATTCTCAGTAGCAAGACTTTTCATTACTAAAATAAGAATTAGATTGAGTGATTGGAGTATTGACCATCTTTGCTTTTTAAAATCTTATAAAAATTTACAATATTTTGTATTATANAAAAAAAAATTAATAAAATAAAAAATATATGGTAATAGGATGATGACTGTAATTAAATGCAGAATAGAAATCTTTTTCATACCTTATACAACAACAAGAATATAATAAATACTAAAATATTGATAACATTGTATTAATATATCTTTATTTTGAGGCTACTTAGCCATGTCCAAATGTGTATTAAAGCATGTTTTGATGAATTAGAAATAGATGTATTTATTTCTTATATTGGATGGTATATAAAGAAGAATTCTTTTGTCTTTATCCTTTACTTTTTATTTTATAAAGAAAATCTGTAGACAGTTTTTAAAATTGTGAATATTTTTCTAATTATTTAACAAATGTATTTGAAATAAACTATGTATATACTAAAAATTATATTAAGATTAGATTCTACATAAGTATTAGATTAGCAATACTAAAATTACTTTTTAGTATTGCTAATCTAATACTTAAGTAGAATTTATTTTAAATGATCTGTAGATTACAATTAACATTATCTTAATATTAAGGAATAATAATATACAGTTTAATCAAACTTATGAGTGGCACAAAATAATGTAATGTCACTTTATTAAGTTATTTTTTTTCAATTATATCATTATTTAGATCAGGTTGTTTAGATCAAACACAAAATAATCTTTGAACACAAAATAGAATAGATATTTAATCTATATAGCCCAGTGGTTCTCAAACTTTTTTGATTCATGGCATCCTTGCTAAATCCAGGTTTTCTCAAGGCATCCTATGTCAAATTCTAACAAGTAAAATTTGTGAAATAGCCAATAGTTTTTTAAGTTAAAGAGTTAGGACATTAAGTAAAAAATAAATAAAACATGTATTTAAGATAACAAAAAAATGTAATTGAACAAATTCAATTAATTATAATTAGTGGGAGGGATGATTCAGCTGATCATTGCACATTTTCTCAAATCTTGGAATCAAACTGGACACATCCATCCTCATTTCCTTCTCCACATTGATTTTCATGCAATGCTTAGTTTTTATCACAGCAATAAACTCAGCTTTGCACAAATAAGAAGTCACAAATAGAATTAATATTCTCTGAGCTTTGCCACTCTGTAAGGATATTCATCATTTACTGATATCCAAATTCAGTTAATTCCATGCTACAAAATTTTGTTTTCAATGTACAATGGGAAGACAACTCAATAAGATTCTCTTCTTCTGCAGCGCAGTAAATTCAGATAGAGAATTAGCATTAAATGGATGTTGAATTCATGCAAATTTATCGATATTATTTTGAAAATATTTTTCAAACCAGGTGGTGATATGCTGTGATAAATGTTCTTCAAAAATAGATTTCATACCTCGAGAGAAATCAATTCCATTGGAGGTCAAAAACTCTGTTGCAACAGGAGGAAACATTCTTTTCCTCTGTCTTCATCTATTTTTCTTTTCCATAGTTTGAATTTTTTTATAAAAGCCAAAATTTTCTCAATTGACTTTAAATGGTGCATGTTGCTTCCCTGCAGGGAGAGATTCAGAGCATTCAGCTGTTCAAAAATATCACATAAGTATGCTAGTTTTATCATAAAATCTTCATTTACAAAATTTTCGGGATAGTTGTGGTGGTCTTTAAGAAAAATATGAATTTCCTGTCACTGTTCAAATGCATGAGACAAAACATTACTTTGAGATCGCTCTCTTGTGATAATGTTTTGTACTTTCTTGAAGTGCTGTAGTACAACAAAGATGTGTGCTCAGATCCCATATCCTCAGTTTTTTTGAAAAATCTTGCTTTCAACAGCCGAATTTTTTATAAAGTTTACTACATTTACTACATATTCTAAGGCCTGGTTCAATGTAGGACTCAGATATTTTGATCCGAGTGCTTCCCTGTGAATAACGCAATCAGTCCACAGTCTATCGTGGTCTTTGCTTTGAAAAAGTGCTTGCAGTCTTCCATAACACCCGAACATAGAACGAGCATCATCAGTTCAGATATGAATGCATTTGGTCCACTCTAAATTATTTTCAGATATAAAAATATCAAGTTGTGAGCCTTAGCACCAGAGGTAATACTTTTACAAAAGAGAAAGTCTTCTGCAATGTTTTTACAATCTATAAACTGTACATAGCAAATCAAGTAAGCATCATTATTATTATCCATAGCTTCATCCACCACAACCCAAATTCCTTCCTTTTTATTCTTTCAATTAACTGGACAGTGGAGGTCCTTTGTTATGTGCTATATTCTGTGACTGATGGTATTATTGGACAAAAGCTGCATCCCAGCAGACTCATCAATCATAATGTTCACCATATCTACAGCAGCTGATAGAATGAGGCTTCTTACATTTTGCGATTCTGTGTGCAACCTTTATTACTGAGTTAATGATTTGCACTAGGTGTGCTAGATGTTGCGTTTTATTACATTGAATTGAAAGTGGAAGTAAAATTATAAAAATTTTATAACATTTCGTGATGACCATGTGGGGAAGCCACGGCTCCCTAGGGCATTGCTAAACACACTTTGGGAATCACTGATATAGCCTGATGATGTCTATTTGATACAGATGAAATCATTTGTTTTTATTAAAATATCTCATGGAAATGTTTTTGACCTGCTTAATTGTTTGATAATTGTAATTTAACATTATCAATATTATTTTTTTATTTTTGTTGATTAAAACAGTTTGCATTTAATAATAAATTAATTTGCCATTAATAATTTGGTCTTTTTAATAATTCTAAATAATCTTTATTTAGTCTTAGATATTCATGTGTTTTCTTGACTGCTTGCTTAGAGAAAATCTAAGATTGGAACTTAGCAGCCTATGATTAAATATAAATATTCCAATATTTATTGCATATACTGTGTAGTTAAATTGATAATTTTTATTTAATTCTTCAAAAAATTTTACTGTGTGATTATGACATGAAATTCTGTAAAGAAATTTAATATAATATCATATTAAACAATTCTTTATTTACATTTTTAGGCAATGGAGCATTGCAGATTGTCTAGTACAATTTTATTAACTCTTGCCGGATTTGTAGAATGGATTCCAATTTCACACATTATTGCCGGAGAAAGTCTTCTTTTGCCAGTATTGTGGAATATTTTAGAAGATGACGTCTTGCAGTTACATGCTGCAGAATGCTTATTATTAATTGCAGGTCGTAAGGTAGGAGAAACAATCTTCAATAGAATCAATGAGGTTTCTTGATATTAAAAGAATGTGTTGTCAAATATACTGTGTCTTAGAATTTAATTTAGAGTTTATTATTACAAATAAATTAAAAATATATAGTTATAAGCATAATAATGTAATATAGTTTGTCAAATTATAATTTACATTAATCCTAATGAAATAATAAGTACAGAATTTGAATTGCTGATATTAGATGTTGTAATGCTTTGAAAACTAATATTTAGTAAATTTTAGTTAATTTAATTACGATACATTTTTTGGGGCTTTCCCTGTATTTTGTAAAAGAAATAATATACACTAAAAAATTATTTTGGTATGTACTGCTTAATTAATAATAATGATGGCACATACCCATATGTAGATGTCCAAAAAGATTATAACAGAACTTAAAAATCTGTAGCCTGCCATAACTTTTCTATGATTAGATATGTTTAGATATGCAAATAAATACTTACATTGTGTTAAAGTTGTGCTGCATGTAGCCTATATGAGTAGTAGGCTAGACTGTAAAAGATATCTAAGTACACTCTATAGTGTTTACTTAACAACATATTTCTGGAGTATATCTTAATTATTAAGAAGCACATATGTTATTTGGTTATTATATTCAAATACATATAAGTGGTTAATTTATCTTGTTTTATTTTTTATAGCCTATAATTTAGAATGTACAAATAGATAAGATATATTCATATTATTTTATTTATTGAATATTTATAACTTTGTAAATAAATTTGACTATTTATCTTTTATCTTTAAGGGAAAAACAGAAGATAGGAAACCTCTTCTCACTCTGTTCAGTGAGCCAGCAATGTCTTCTATTTATTCAGCTGCAAGGTAAATATATAAACAATAAAATTATGATTGATTAAAATTAAATAAAATATATACTAAATATCAAATTTGAAGAATTGAGATTTAATAATTGACTTTTATTAATGTTGTTAATTATTTTTGTTAACATTTTAGTAAAAATTATTTCTATATAAACTTGTGACTAAATCATTTAAAATTTATTAATTTTACTACAATTTTTTTAAGCTTATTTTTTTCAAAGATATACTATCTCACAAAATTATAGATTTTGACATTTGGTACATTCCTGTATGCATCAAATACTGCCTCTATGAAACATGATATATACTAAAATGTATTGCAATATTCATCAATGTGTTTATTGGTGGAGCAACTGATTCATATCATAAAGTTATTTTGACAAAGTAAGTCTTCAAATGCCAATATAGCTGTTTCCTTCTGCCATCATTTTAGGTGACCAGATGTTCTGGTAAAAGCCTATTAACCTGTTCACTGGTGTACCATTTTGGCTGAGACTGATGCATACTGAAATGTACCCATTGTAAAATATTTTAGGAACTTATGATGTTTGGAGAAGAATAACTGTACATGTTAATGAAATATTACTTAATGTTGTTAAATTTAAGGAAATCATATTGTTAATATTAATCTGTGAAAAGTATTCATTATTTTTAATATTTTTAAAAGTATTTAAATAATAATAACCATACAAACAATTTTGGGTCAATTTAAATCATCAGAGTGGTTTTAAGTACAACTGATGTTGTGAAAACTTTTAGTATTGTGTAGGTGTCAGATCCTACAAGAAAAGGTTGGCATCAAGTGTATAAAGTGTGTGTTTTTTAATGTCATATTGTTGGTCATTTTTAATAAAGAATTCTTTTTATCTTCAAGTTGTTTACCGTCTGTCTCTTGCTGGAATTTGAAAAAGAATACAAATTTACAATTTCATGATGAACTCAGGATATTTTTCTTCTAATTATAAATTAGAGGTTCAGACTATGTACGAAAAATTATTTAATTTTTGAGTCTATCAATTAATCCTTTTCACACACCATAGAAGTACACCTTTTACATTGGTTTGAAGACATCACTTCATTAAAAACAAATAACAATAGGTAAATTTTACATTATTAAAAATGATCAGACGTCAGCCTTTCATTTTAGGTTCTGACACCTTAACATTAAAAAATTAAGTAAATCTTCTCATCCAACTATCAAGCTTTATACCATTTGTATCAGGTTCAAGCCCTCTAGTGGTGGATACGAGTTATCTTTGATTTGCATGTAGTTACAATTTCACGATGAACTCAGGATATTTTTCTTCTAATTATAAATTAGAGGTTCAGACTATGTACTGACACCACTAGAGGGCTTGAACCTGATACAAATGGTATAAAACTTGACAGTTGGATGAGAAGATTTACTTAATTTTTTAATGTTAAGGCGTCAGAATTTAAAATGAAAGGTTGGCGTCTGATCATTTTTAATAATGTAAAATTTACCTATTGTTATTTGTTTTTAATGAAGTGATGTCTTCAAATCAATGTAAAAGGTGTACTTCTAAGGTGTGAAAAGGATTAATTGATAGACTCAAAAATTAAATAATTTTTCGTACATAGTCTGAACCTCTAATTTATAAATACAAATTTAAATTGACCCAAAATTGTTTGTATGGTCATTATTACTTAAACATGTAAATAATTCTTGGAATTACACAATTTATATTTTTAAAACTGTACTAAAATAAAACACCATTACATATCTGTTTTTCTCTCTTTTTCATTGCAGTTCTGAGATCTCTAAAAACATTAAAATTTAAAAATATAGCTTTACTTTTTTAATTAAATCTGTTTATTGAGTTTAAAGTTTGTTTCACAGTAAAAATACTTAAGAATAAAATAAAATTTGTACTAAAGAACTATAAATATCATATAAAATTATTTTTGTAACCTATTATTAGAAAATTTTATGAATACTTGATGTTGCATTTAATCAACTAAACAATAAAATTTGTGTGTCCATTAGTATTGCTGCAGATACATCTTTAATTAGTGAGCAGAAATATACTTTTCTAAAAAAATTATGCCAAGTTCTTATTGCATTAGGAGGACAACTTTATGCTCTATTGGTAAATATATTTTTTTGACTATTATACAATATTTTTCTGTATTATCTTATATTAAATAAACAGAGCAATACAAATATACACATCTATTAACCTGATTTTTAGATTAATTTCAAACGATTACTGGATTAAATCAGGCTATAATAATGCTATTTAATAATTAAATGTCATAATTTGGTCTAGAGTTAGGCATTATATGCTATCTCCCAATAAATTTGATAGCTATAATTATTGAATTTATCAAGAGACTATGCATAATGTTTGCCTTTAAGCCAAAGAACAATAATGCAAATAAAGAATATTAAAATTAAAATTTTTTTTGTTAGAAAAGCATATGTCCTACACTGTTTACAAGGAAAGAAAAGTGTATATTCTTTCAGAAGTCATTATGATTCATGTTTATGTTTAAATGATTGTTTTATTCACTTAAACTTAGAAGATCAACACAATAACAAGCAACAGGTTGTTGGAATCTAACATTTTTGGCTATTTACAGGCCATCATCAGGATGTGCAAACATTCAAAAATAGAAAAATGTTCCAATGTAATATTCAAATTACAAAATTCAAAATAGTTAATATAAATAAACATTATAAATATGTAGAAACAAATATAAAACAGTATAAAACATTATCACTATCAAGTTAATAACATAATTAAAACTTCAGCACTGAAACATTCTACAGTTTTAATTACATTAGATATCTTTTAATCTGTGGTTTGTTATATTGTTGTTTTTAATTTTTATCATTATGATTCTTTTAAGAATAAAAGAAAAAAACACCCAGTTTTCTATTGTTTTAAGCTTTAGTGTAATAAAACAAATTTAAAATAATAGAAAATAAAAATTCTGTTTCAGTCTTAAAAAGTGGCTATTTTTAAATATCACATTGGCTGAAATATAAGTCAACTTCCAATTTAGGAATCCTTAATATTTGAAAAAAAATTAGGACCAGAATATAAATTGACCTTTTATTATTAATTCTATTTGCATACAAAAAAATTAGCAATTTGCATTAAAAAATAATTTGGAAAGTTATAAAAACAATACTTCATCACTTTTATCTTTATCAGAACTTTCACTTGATATCATTCCTATTTTTTTTTATTAATTTGATTCCCATTTACAGTAAAACTTTGCTAAGTTGGACACTTGTGACGAAGATCCAAAATATTTAAGTTAGTGGGTGTCCAGGTTAGAGAGGTGAGCTTTTCTGCAGACCATGTACACATTAGGGTTTCTCAAATGGGATCCCGATTGTTCTTTTAACCCGGGAAATCATGCAAATTTCTTAAAATTTCACTTTTTTTATTATTTTGTGTTAAGGTTGAGGAAATTTTGTAAATAGAAAGTATAATTAACTCATAAAATGTCAGAATACATTTGTATTTATTAATTTTAAACCTACTTATTAGATTTTTTTAATTTTTACTCGTTATGGCATGTCACAAATGGTCATTAATCAATATGTAGCTTATTTGTGGCAGGACTCTCAAAATTCTTTACCTGTAATATCTGGAATAATTGTGCTTATGCTGTCTTAATTTTTAACCATGCCTAGTAGCTTCAATAACTGTGTAACGCCAAGTTGTGCAAATTGGGCAAGGATACAAACGAGTACGAAGTCTGCAAGTATGAAGTTTTTCTTCATAACCTGATTATTAAAGATAAACGAACTGCCAAATTATTGGGCTATGATGTTTCTATTAAAGCAGTCAAGGTAGACAAATCAAGAATACTAGAAAACAAAAGAAGTACTACAATCGCGAAAATGAACTAGAAATCTTTCAGGATACAGATGAAAAACACATATTATTTATCTTCTCTTAAATGCATTAAACATGATTCCACTCACATCAATTGAATCGGAAAGGGCATTCTCAGTAGCAAGACTTTTCATTACTAAAATAAGAATTAGATTGAGTGATTGGAGTATTGACCATCTTTGCTTTTTAAAATCTTATAAAAATTTACAATATTTTGTATTATATTTTATTTAAAAAACGAAAATTACTTTCTAAAGTTTGTTTTTTTTAAATTTTTAACGCAAAGCATTTTGTTTTTGTTGTTGTATGCAGTTTCCAGCAAACTTTAATAAATTTTTTCTATTTGTGAAAATTTCTACATAATTGAAAGGTTTTAATATATATCTTACACAGCATTATCAATATGATTTTGGAGGTTACAGAACATATTAAATTACATTAAAAATGAAAAATAATTATATCATTTGATTTCATGATATTTTGTATATCTTAAGAATAATTAATTTTGTCCTGGGATCTTGGGAAATAGTTCACTTTTATCCCATAATCCTGGGACAAGCAAAAGACCGGGAAATGAGAAACCCTAGTACGCATCTACACACATACCACATTTTCTGCACTTATGTTTTGCTAAGTATAATGAAACAAGTATCAGTTTTTAATATCACAAAATTTAATGACTGAAAATTCATGTTAATATAATACTGTACAGTACATATGTGTTACATAGTTCAATAAAGTATTAATATCATTAAACCAGCTTGTAAGGTATGAGTTGTAATATCTTGTCTACACATATTTGATCTTTTAATAAAATGTACTTTACTTTATAAATATTACTGTTAATTTATAAATTTGAAAACTATTTTCTATGTATCATAATACATTGATTTTTAAATTGAAATTTTTTCAGGGTGTAGATTCTGAAATAACTGTTCCTGTCACATTTCCTATTTATTTAAATACAGTGTTAGCATTTACAAAGCACCCGAGCCAGGTAGGTGCAAAATTCTGAAGAGAAGTAAATTTTAATTATTATTTTATTATATTTTAATTGTCAAACAATAACTTTTTAAAAACACAGAAAAAATATTTAAAAAATGAATTAAGAAGTTTATTATACAGTCAAATCTTAACTGAGGCAGAGCAGTAGTGAAACCTCTTTTATCTGGCTTATGGAATTGTGCTCATTGTCAAAATCTGTTTGTTTGATTTTTATTAAACTTTGCAATTTCCCATTAATTTCAATGAAGAATTCAAAAATGTAATAAAAAATGGTTCCATGACTTTGTTTTTGAGATATAAGGTTGTTGCATGAGCACGCACAACAAAACGGTACTGCACATATGTTCCATGGTTGCTAGCACATCTTTTACAGGCGTATAGAATTAATTTATTTTCTCAAAATTTAATGAGCCAATTTTGATAAAACTTTCCATTTTCCACTAATTGTGGTGAGGAATCCAAAAATGTAATGAGGGATGAGGGTATTACATTTTTGGATTCCTCACCACAATTAATGGAAAATGGAAAGTTCATTTAAGTTGGATTCATTTAAAATAAAAAAGTAGTAGTCCATAATTTCATTTTTGATGTACAGAGGTGTTAAAGTGACAATATCTGTGTTCCCTGACCTGACTGAGGACTCCTAATGGTCAAAAATAAAAACAGCATTACATGTGTCTAACAGAAAATAGGTACAAAAAATGAACAAAATGCAAGAACAAAGCACTCACCAATGATGGCTTTGTTCTTGTGTTTTGTTCATTTTCTATGCCTATTTTCCATTAGATGCATGCAGTGCTGTTTTTATCATCTCTCCATACTCAGCAAATCAAGGATTGTCTCTCCTGTTGTGGGCAGGTATAAAGATTTCCTCTCCTGTGAATGGCTGGTACAAGAATAGCCTGTTTTGAGGTGACAAATGCAAAGTTCACTTGTCCACATTTACACTGATGATTCCAAGATGGGTGACGAAGTGGATGCTGCTTAGGCCACAAGCTTCACAATGCTTGCTTCCATCTAGGTACACACTGCTTAATAGCACTTTAGCTATTTATATGAGCTTAATTCACATTAGGCATAGGAAGGACAAAAGACACTACTTACACTATCGCACTTATTCTGACAGTATTGTGAAGTCTGAAGTGATTGTGAAGTCTGATAGCTGCTTAAAACTTGTCCATCTCATACATCACATTTTCAGACATTTAGACAACAACATTAGAATAGATTTTCTATGGGTCCCAGGTCATGCAGGGTTCTCGGCAATGAGACCACTGACCGTCTTGCCAAACAAGCTGCAAAGTCTTTACTCACTAGTACTTTCAGTTACATTCCTACCTTGTACATCAAGAAGCAAATCTTCATTCTCTGGCAAGACAGCTGGGACCATGACATCACTGGTAGTCTCACCTACACTTTCATCTTCAAGATTGATACTACTGCGATTCTTTGCCACTTTTACCCTAGTTACATCCTCACTCAGCTACTTACAGGACATGACAACTTTAAACAATACTTGCATAGATTTAACCTTGGCGACAATCCACAATGTGATTGTGGTATTCAGGAGGATCAAACACCACTTTACTTAGTTTTTTGCTGCAATAGGTACAATCACATTAGGGATAGTTTAATGAGAGCTGCTATTCTGAAGGGTATAACTGGCCTTGCAATCCACACCAACTCATTCACACATGTACAATGTTCCATCATCTACTCACATTTATATCCCTTAGTGTGGCTCTTGAGAGCACTCACTCCAGGGGTATGGATGGCAATTAGCTTTTCCTTGCTTTGTTTCAACTGTCGGTATATAGCTGCCTTTTAACTTTGCATTTTAATTCTTATTTTCAGTCTTCTTTTTCAGTCTAAATTCGGTTAGTCCTAGTTGTAAATTAGATTAGGGACACTTAGCTTGATTTCCGGTTAGGTTAAATTAGATTAGGGTTTGTTGGCTTTAGTCGTCTGGTTAAGGTTTGTCCTAGGTATGGCATTTAAAAAAAAATAAATAAAAAAAATAAAAATTTGAGGTCTTGCTCGTTTGTCTCTGTTTGTCCGTTTGTCTTGTCTAGTTTGCCATTGTGTTCGCGCTGTCTGTCTAGCTGTTAAGTAGTATTAAGATTTGTGATCGTGTTGAGTTTTATTAGTATTAAGTAGTTATAAGTCTTCCTACTAACAGTCACTTGGCACTAACTTCTACATTTAACTGCTTGTGGTGGCACTAAATCATTGGTGTTTGCTACACTTAGGTTTTCTTTTAGATCTTTAATTAAAATGCCTCAATATCCTTTTCTTACTAAAATATAAATTTTTGTCTACAAGTAGGTATCTTCTAATATCAGGACTTATTATACTGGCTTTACAGCTAATGCTACAGTGTTTCACAGAAAACAATTTTTTTATTTTATTTAATATACCTGGACACATAATTTTGTGTTTCGGACACATTTGTCCCTCCTCAGCAGGTATTTTTGTAGTATATTTTACATAAATTAAAAAACAATAAAATAAATTTTAAAATTACATTTAAAATTTACTGACAAACTTATTTATTTATATACATTAATAAAATTCTTACAATTTTCAGATTTTCTTTCATTTTTAACTCTACTGGACATTCAATTTTAACCAACAAAAACAATATTACTGTGAACTTAAGCCTGTATTAAACAAATTATTATATTAACATTATATCAGTTTTTTACATTTATTTACTATTTTTTACAACTTACATCTGTTTCTGTTCAATTTGACTAACACCTCTTTTCCTCTTTTGATTGTTCTTTTTATCTTTCAAACACGCCTATTTATATACATTTTAAATATAATATATTTAAAATGTATATAAATAAAATAAGACAACGAACTAGTAAAATCAAAACACAGGAAAAAGAAGAAAAGGAAATAATAAAAATGTTTATGTTAAATGATTTAGGCAGAATTTATGTTAAAGAATTTAGGCAGAAAGTACTTGTTCCTTTTAATTTATATGCTTCTCAATGCAAATATACTTTTAACTCATTACTACATTGATTCTGAATTTTAATGTTTATAGATTTTATTAGACAAAATCTGCAAAATAACCTGATGTTTTTTAATGCGACAGTGTAAGAACGCCGATTGGGGGGAGATTTTTTTTCCCTACCATCGGGATGGTCTACGGTCTACGCGTATGTGGGTGGCGGTTTTTAAAGGTAGCAAATACAAGTGTTTTACAAAGGTAAACCGTTTATTCCAAACGATAATGCTTACATAAAGTCTCTCGTTGGCAAGGTCCTGTGTTGTTGGAAATTTTTGACGTCGGTGCTGGTCTTGCGTCGTCGGGATTTTCGGCGACAATCTGGTCCAGCGTCATAGGGGCCCATGGACAGTGTTGAGCAAAAAGTTCGAAGTCTCGAAAGTCGGTGCACAAAAGACGAAAGGATGCACAAAAAAAAACCGGAGATACACGAACACAAAAGAAGTCTAGTGAAAGTCTTAGTGGAAGCTTAGTGGAAGTCCTGTTGTCCTTGGAATTGGTGCTTTTATGACTTTTTTGGGATCGGCTTTTTGCTAATTGGATAGACCTTACATCATCGTTTTCTAATTGGTCTTCCACCTGTCTCCAGGTGTAAATGGAGCTTTGTAAGGTTCGCGAGAAAGGTCGGCTGGAGATGGTTTATCCGACACCATCATTTTCGACTCTGATCGTGTTTAATTGTTGACTATGACACCTACGCTCATTTTGATATTTTTTTCTAGTTTCGTTTTGCTTTCTACACTGCGTCTTAACTTTAATATTTTAAATTTTCTTCTTTTATCTAAAATTTTGTTTTTCCCATTATTCTTTATGAGCGCTGACATCAAAGTCTGGTATCGCCAATTCAATACTTATATAATTTGCTTTCTTGACGATTTAACTTAACAAGTTTTTTTGTATCTTTCTTTTTGGGGGGCTATTTCCGGGACCTCACAACAGTCTCCAATAATAAAGATATGATTCAAAAATTACTTTAGAAAAAAATATATTTTAAGTTTTAGGTTGAAAACCAGGATTGATTTTTAGAGATTTCTCATGGAATTGCTTTGAATATTCTTCTGAAGCTTATTGATCTGTAGAAGTAATTCAAAAATGATTAATATTTTTTTCAGTTAATTATCAAGTTAATAA